ACCAGACAAGGATGTCACAAAGAAAGAAAACTACAGGCCAATATCACTGATGAACATAGATGCAAAAATCCTCAACAAAATACTAGCAAACAGAATCCAACAGCACATTGAAAGGATCATACACCATGATCAAGTGGGGTTTCTTCCAGGAATGCAAGGATTCTTCAATATACACAAATCAATCAACGTGATACACCATATTAACAAATTGAAGGAGAAAAAACATATGATCATCTCAATAGATGCAGAGAAAGCTTTTGACAAAATTCAGCACCCATTTATGATAAAAGCCATGCAGAAAGTAGGCATAGAGGGAACTTTCCTCAACATAAAAAAGGCCATATATGACAAACCCACAGCCAACATCGTCCTCAATGGTGAAAAACTAAAAGTGTTTCCACTAAGATCAGGAACAAGACAAGGTTGCCCACTCTCACTACTCTTATTCAACATAGTTTTGGAAATTTTAGCCACAGCAATCAGAGAAGAAAAGGAAATAAAAGGAATCCAAATCAGAAAAGTAAAAGTAAATCTGTCACTGTTTGCAGATGACATGATACTATAAATAGAGAATCCTACAGATGCTACCAGAAAACTACTAGAGCTAATCAATGAATTTGGTAAAGTGGCAGGATACAAAATTAATGCACAGAAATCTCTGGCATTCCTATACACTAATAATGAAAAATATGAAAGTGAAATCAAGAAAACACTTCCATTTACCATTGCAACAAAAAGAATAAAATATCTAGCAATAGACCTACCTAAGGAGACAAAAGACCTGTATGCAGAAAATTATAAGATACTGATGAAAGAAATTAAAGATGATACAAATAAATGGAGAGATATACCATGTTCTTGGATTGGAAGAATCAACATTGGGAAAATGACTCTACTACCCAAAGCAATCTACAGATTCAATGCAATCCCTATCAAACTACCAGTGGCATTTTTCACAGAACTAGAACAAAAAATTTCACAATTTGTATGGAAACACAAAAGACCCCGAATAGCCAAAGCAATCTTGAGAACGAAAAACAGAGCTGAAGAAATCAGGCTTGCTGACTTCAGACTATACTACAAAGCTACAATAATCAAGACAGTATGGTACTGACACAAAAACAGAAAGATAGATCAATGGAACAGGATAGAAAGCCCAGAGATAAACCCACGCACATATGGTCACCTTATCTTTGATAAAGGAGGCAGGAATTGTACAGTGGAGAAAAGACAGCCTCTTCAATAAGTGGTGCTGGGAAAACTGGATAGGTACATGTAAAAGTATGAGATTAGATCACTCCCTAACACCATACACAAAAATAAGCTCAAAATGGATTAAAGACCTAAATGTAAGGCCAGAAACTATCAAACTCTTAGAGGAAAACATAGGCAGAACACTCTATGACATAAATCACACCAAGATCCTTTTTGACCCACCTCCTAGAGAAATGGAAATAAAAACAAAAATAAACAAATGGGACCTAATGAAACTTCAAAGCTTTTGCACAGCAAAGGAAACCATAAAGAAGACCAAAAGAAAACCCTCAGAATGGGAGAAAATATTTGGAAATGAAGCAACCGACAAAGGATTAATCTCCAAAATTTACAAGTAGCTCATGCAGCTCAATAACAAAAAAACAAACAACCCAATCCAAAAATGGGCAGAAGACCTAAATAGACATTTCTCCAAAGAAGATATACAGACTGCCAACAAACACATGAAAGAATGCTCAACATCATTAATCATTAGAGAAATGCAAATCAAAACTACAATGAGATATCATCTCACACCAGTCAGAATGGCCATCATCAAAAAATCTAGAAACAATAAATGCTGGAGAGGGTGTGTAGAAAAGGGAACACTCTTGCACTGCTAGTGGGAATGTGAATTGGTACAGCCACTATGGAGAACAGTATGGAGGTTCCTTAAGAAACTACAAATAGAACTACCATATGACCCATCAATCCCACTACTGGGCATATACCCTGAGAAAACCATAATTCAAAAAGAGTCATGTACCAAAATGTTCATTGCAGCTCTATTTACAATAGCCCAGAGATGGAAACAACCTAAGTGTCCATCATCAGATGAATGGATAAAGATGTGGCAATATATACAATGGAATATTACTCAGCCATAAAAAGAAATGAAATTGAGCTATTTGTAATGAGGTGGATGGACCTAGAGTCTGTCAAACAGAGTGAAGTAAGTCAGAAGGAGAAAGACAAATACCATATGCTAACACATATATATGGAATTTAAGAAAAAAAATGTCATGAAGAACCTAGGGTTAAGACAGGAATAAAGACACAGACCTACTAGAGAATGGACTTGAGGATATGGGGTGGGGGAAGGGGAAGCTGTGACAAAGCGAGAAAGTGGCATGGACATATATACACTACCAAACGTAAAATCGATAGCTAGTGGGAAGCAGCCCATAGCACAGGGAGATCAGCTCGGTGCTTTGTGACCACCTAGAGGGGTGGGATAGGGAGGGAGGGAAGGAGGGAGGGAGGGAGACGCAAGAGGGAAGAGATATGGAAACATATGTATATGTATAACTGATTCACTTTGTTATAAAGCAGAAACTAACACACCATTGTAAAGCAATTATACTCCAATAAAGATGTAAAAAAAAATTTTTTTGGTCTACATTGGCAGAACTGAAAATAAAATATGTATCGGCACTTTTCGTAAGGAAAAGAGCATAAATCCTTTCCTAATTTTATCTTCCTTCTTTCTTAATTTCTTACTTTTTCCTTTGCTCCTTTCCATCATTCCTTTTCTTCCTTTCATTGCTTAAATGCTTATAATTTTCTATTTAAAGTAGCCTGATGGTTTATCTGTCCTATAAAAATTTTCTCACACTTTACTTTTCACCTTTTTCGACTTATTTTTATTGTACTTCTGCAGTTACAGTGACCAAGTTCCCCTTAAAAGGAGCTGAAGTGCTTTGCTAAATTACTTCAGAACTTCCCTTGCTTAAAATGGATGCCCTTTTCTTTATATTGGACACTGTTCTAAAAGCAGATAACCTTCAAGTCAGGTCATATTCATGACATATTAATCTCATGTTTATGTCAAATGTTCAAAGAAAGCTAAAACCTTGTGGTAAACACTGAACACATCTTGTTAGGCATACAATTGAAAGCTGGAGGTGACTAGCCTCTGAGGATCTAATACCTGCAAAGTTTTGTTTACTTTTCAGATAATGTTTAATATGGGGTAGGTGGATTAACTTGGATTTTTTTTCCTATATTGTGAACACATTCCCCATGAGAGAGTGTTTGGGTATAAAAAGATTTATTTTCTTGAAATGACATCCTTCAGAATCCTTTGCTCAATAGAAGAATGTGGAGTCTTGCTGGCCTAAACATGAACAGATACAAAATGTCCTTCACGACTTTCTCCACATCTTAAATGCTGCCACACACCACAGTGAAAAATAAATATATCTTCAGAAAATAATATTGTTATGAAGCTACTGTGCCTTAATTTTCTGATCATTTAAGTTACTGCTGTATTCTGCAGAAGGATAAGCGGTTTAATAATCCGACAGTAATTTTTTTTTTCTGGTCAGTGAAGGAATTAGCCAACTACAAATTTTATAGCAACAAGATGAAAATGCATATACTGCCCTGGTTTCCTGACAGCATTTTTAACACTGAGTTATATTTCTAAATAATACCGAAGATCTGTGGCAGAGTTGCATAGAAGTAAGCGTGGGAATGAAATATCTGGTACTGTGCTTAGATGGCAAATGATTTTAATTTTGTTAAAAAGATTTAAATGCACTAACGTTTAGACTTCATATGCACAAATAGAGTCTTTAAGGCGACAGATACTGTTTTTAGATTCTTAATAAGAAATAGAATATACATCTCAGGTCTTCTCCAGGGAAGATAGCTAGATGTGTTCCAAATCCTAAACCTTACTGGGCTTTTTCATCCTAAAACAATATTCCTTATTAATACAATCTTAGGGAACATTAAATCTATTACTGTGTCAGGCAAAAAAAAAAAAAAAGAGCAAATAAAACAAAAATATACCTTGCAATAAAGACCTTAATGGTGTTTGAAACCCCTCCTCCACTCCACAATACAAAATACACGTGAGATGGAGGCTGGGATTGCGGAGCGGTATACGAATTAGCCAAAAGAATTTTAAAATAAAAATAAAAGTAAACGTGCTCTGGGTTTTCTTTCTGGAAAATTCTCTCAAGACGTGACTTTTTGTACTTTACGTCTCTTCCATTCACCAGCGAGAGTGGTACGGTCCCTGCATGAGCTGCTTCTCTTCCACTAGAGGCTGCTCAGCAATAAATTCGTGTGAAATAATAGCCTGCGCTCATTCTAGTTAGCAGTTAATAACTGGTTAACATACATTTCCCTCCAATGGCTGTTTTCATCGCCCCAGAGCAGTGTCTTTCGCCCCGTCCCATCCCTCCCGTCTTCAGCAAAGCCCCAACCTCCCCCTCCACCGCGGTCCGCCCTCCGAGCCTCCGCCGTGGCGAGAGAGGTTCAGCCGACGAGGAAGAAGCACTTTACGAAGGAACTATGCCGCCGCTCTCCGGAAGGCGAGCATAGACGGAGCGCGGTCCGGCGCGCACGGAGTTAAAGGCGCCGCGGCGCTGAGAGGGGAGCCGGCGCGAGCCCGCGAGGTCCCCGCCCCTCGCCAGTCCCCGCGCCACGCGCCCCACGCCACGGGCTGACGCCGGACCCGCCGCAGGAAGCGGAAGGCGGGCGGTCGAGTGGCCAGGCACTGCCCCGCGCCGCGATCCGGGTGTGCACGCGCAGCCCGCCGGAGCCCAGCCCGCCGGAGCCCAGCCCGGTGCCCAGCCCGCCACTGCGCCGCCGGGTCCCCGGTCCGCGTCCACAGAGCCATTCCGCGCCGGCAAGCAGCAGGATGTTAGCGGCGCCGCGCCCCGGGCGCTGAGACCGAGCCCGCGAGACAGTGGCATTCCTTTCTTTTAGGGCTTTTTGGCTGTTGGCTCCACTGATGTGACGACCCCCCCCCCCCATTTTTTTTTTTTTTTTTTTTTGGAACGATGGGGATCTTTCTGGCGTATGTTGGATTTGTTTTCTTTTCCGTTTTATATGTACAGCAAGGGCTTTCTTCTCAAGGTAAGTCTGTGCTCACTGGCAAATATACATTTGCTTGCACTGTGAGTGTGTGTTTGTGTGCCTTCTCTGTGTTCAAAGAATGGCCAGGCAGATGTGGTGAGGTTCTTAGCAAGTAACAGAGGAATAGTGTTCTGTTTGGCATTTTTCTTTAAAGTTTATTAAATAGTAGCCCTGCTAGATTTGAGAGCAGATCTAGTTGGTGCCCGACAACGAGATGGGTTCCTTGGTGAGCACAAACACAGGGTTATAAGTATGTGTGTGTGTGTGTGTGTGTCCCTTCTATCTGTGTGCATGCACAGGGTAACCACTCGTGCATACATAATCATCGCAAACAGAGCTGGGGATTGGGGACTCTCCATGGCCAGCTCTCCTCCTCGATGTAGGCAGTACGAGCTTATAGTTTCCTTTTTCTGGGTCCGTGTGACTTCGTTTGCCTGTGTGTTTATCAAAGGACAGACTCCTCTGAGGACCCATAAAAAGGTACAACTTGCATTACAAGCAGCAGCAGCAGCAGTAGCCTGCTAAATCCAGTTGTTAGGACTTCGCAGGCTGCAGTGATCATTTCAGCACCATGAACAGATCACACCTCTGCTGTCAGAGGACTGCATCGCTTCTGCAAACAGAAATGCCACACTCTCCCTTCCAGCTTGAACGGAAGAATCCTTTTCAGATCAGAATGTCCTCTTAACATCTCCCATTTCCTCTAAGTATAAATACAGTTCAATTTCAATAGAGATCATGTTGGGATTTTATAAAAAAAAATTTTGGAAAGGGACACTGATGGTGCCTCGCATTGAAAAGTGGGGGCAAAGTGCATCCACCCTGAATCGGCCCTGCAGCCCCCTCAGCCCTCCTCCCCATGAGTTCGCATTGTAGCTGTGCACTTCCTTCAGCCACAAATCTCTCCAAGACTTTTAGGGAATCATCAGCTCTTTGCAAAATATTTCTTAGACAAGATGAGAACAACCATCCAAAGCATTCCATGTTGGAGAAGTGCCTTTGGGAGAGAGGAAACATATTTTTGTGAGTTTCACCATGACTCCATGAACCTTGCAAACTAGCAGTGTCAAGATTGGTAATGAAAAGGCTGGGAAAAAATGTCTCTAGTGACTTCAGAACAATCTTTAATCTGAACCAAGCCCAGGTGTGTGATTCTTACATCCGACGATGTATGACAGTTTACAATACAGTTGCTTGATGAAGGTTAATTTGGAAAGAAATATCCACAGCTTAGAAAGTGTGCAACTTGTTTCACTGCTGTAGGCTTTGAATCACAATTGCTAATAAGTGTCATGATATATCAGGAATGTATCTTTTGACAGATAATCACGATCCCTTCTCTATTAACATGAAACGTCCAGTTAGTCATAGATTGTTTAGAAACTTGGAGGCAGGAGGCTCTCCTCTTGTATCAGCTTGACAGATTTGTCAAATATACTTAAATATAAATATAAGTAAAATATACTTCACTGAAACCCTCAGTAAGTTTTGGGGAATACTGCAGTTTGACAAAGGGTATTTGTATGTAACTGTGGGCATCTTGGCTAACAGAGGGGAGTTATTGGCAAGCTTGTTAACCTTTCCATTATCTGGACTTGATCAAAAACAAAATGACTTAGGCACCATACCAAAAGTAAGACAAGAAAGAGGCAAAGGAAAGGGGGTTGGGGAGCCTCTGGGATGTCACAGAGGGCTTTTTGTTGCGGTTTTTATTTATTTATTTTTAAGTCGAAGGAAAATGTAGTGAGCTCTCAAGAGACGCTGTCAAGAGTGGTGTGTATATTCCAAAAGGGTGCGTTTCTGTTTTGCAGCAAAATTTACCGAGTTTCCACGGAACGTGACGGCAACCGAGGGGCAGAATGTGGAGATGTCCTGCGCTTTCCAGAGCGGCTCCTCCTCGGTGTACCTGGAGATCCAGTGGTGGTTCCTGCGGGGGCCGGAGGACCTGGACCCCGGGGCTGAAGTGGCCGGGGCACAGGTAGCGGAGTCCCGTCGCCTTCGCGTCCGTCCCACCCACTGACTTAGACCTCTGAGTGTCCAGTCGGCGTCGGGCCCAAGATGATGCCTGGGCGCCCATGGGGAGCCCCCTGGCTCTCTCGGCAAGGAGGACGCCCAGGGATGCCAGGGAGTGAGCCGCATGCCCTGGTGACACCACGTTAAAACCAAGGGAAGGCATGTTGTCCAGTCTTTCCCGGTTAAAGATTGGGAATAGCCTCCTCCTTTTCGTACGGGTCATTGTGAGCTGTCCGTGATGGCACTGCCGTGTTGATACATCTCCGGACACTCAATGTCCCCTTCGGGACGGTGGTGTGAGGACAGGAATTATGTCGATGTTTCCATCACCCCGGCCCTCCACCCCCGTCGGTTTCTCTCACCTCCGCCGTAATCAGAGGGGGGAGGGAGGAGAGAGAGAGAGGAGGGGAAGTGGAGGGGGAGAGAGGGAGGTGGGGGGAGATGGAGGACGGGGAGAGAGGGAGGAAAGGGTGACAGGGGAGAAGGGGATGGGGACTGACGGAGGGACCCGAGGCGACCCAAGTGGAGAGGGGGCGGGGAGGGGAGGAGAACTGAGCAGGAGCGGAGGGGCGGGGAAACGAGGGTCTGAACTGAGGGGCAGACAGTTCTGCAGAAGAGGCGGCGGCCGTGCGGGGGCGAGAGGAAGCCTGTAGAAGGGACCACAGGCAGGGGACGCGGGCCGGGGACGACGCAGGGTGCCGTCCCACAGACTGGCGCGCCCCGGGGGCCTGACCCGAACGCAGACCCCCCCGAGTTCCCGGGTACCCCTTATTCCCCACCCTCCGGAATCCCAGCCTCCGCGGTCCCCCGCCCCGGAATCCCCACTCTCGGGAGTCCCTAATTCTCCCGCTCCCCGAGCCCCCGCCCCCCAGTCCCCACCCTCCGGAACCCCTAATCCCCGCTCCTGAGTCCCCGAGCCCGGCCCCGGGGCGGCCCAGGGCAGCGCGACCCCGCTAGGTTTGCATGGCCGAGGGCTCAGGTCGGGCCCGGTCTGAGCGTCGGTGTCCACCCCGCCTTCCCCACCGCAGACGGAGCTGCTGCCATACCGGGACCCGGACGGCGACGGGACCAAGATCAGCGTGAGTGTCACCGCGACGGCTGCCCTCGGGCCCGGGGGCACCAGTTTGGGAATTTCAGGTTTTCAAAAGCCTATTAACTTACTGCCCCTGAAACAGGCAACTTGCATGCGCAGGGCGAGAGCCCGCTGTCTGTGTCGTGTCTTACCTCACTGGATACATACACACTGAAGCAGAGTTCATACAATAAAATTATTTATCTTAATGACGTAGATATTTGAACAGTTACTAGGCAATCATTTTGCCACCCAAAGAAGTGTGTGAGACTTTATTCTTGCTCTTATTAACAGTTACATAACTGTTAAAGGGCTGCAATGCTAATAATATCCGTTCAAAATTATACCAGTAATTATTCTTCAATAGCAAGTAAAACACTAACGGTACGAAAATCTTCCCAGGCTGAAAAAAATTAGAGCATCCAACAGAGTGTTGAAGTTGTAATGAAAACAGCTCAACTTCAACGTCATTCATAATGCGTGCAACGTATTTCTAATGCCAATGTTCAAAATCATATAAATGTAAATATAAAACCAAAAGCCAATATAAAAACATTATTGGAGGAGGTTAACCTGTTGATAATACAGAGATGTATTTCTACTCTGCTGGTTATTACTTTTCATACTTGCGAGTGAAATTAGAAAGAAAATCTTTTTTTTACTACACCTCAGATGAAGCCATCTAGAATCATTTTATACTGTACCACTGCTCAGCTTGTTGATAATTAGTAAACAAGTTACCATTACTAGAAATAATATATGTATAAAGAATCTAAAAATCCAATGACCCACATTTTAAAAAGAAATTTATTCTGAGGCTATTATAACTAAAAGTGTAAAAATGTATTATACTAATAAAATCAGATTCTCTAATCTAAATGTATAATCTCAACATGGAAGAAAATATCAAACAAAAATAAGATACAAACCAGAAACTCCAGTTTCTATTCATAAACTCATGGACTTTTTAGAATCTTTCAATTCAATTATTCTTATATCACAGAAACTCTTGTTTTCTGACAGTGCTAGAAAAGCTTTATTGGTAAGATCCATTATTAACGATGTTTTTTTAAAATATTTCATTTTTCACATACACATACAGTTAGATAGATTGTTTATTTCCTATTCGTCTTTCATCCTTCACCCATACCCCAACCCTCCAAAGACCAGTGGTGAAGCAGCCTCACACATCTTGACCTAGGGAAGCATGCAATCAGATGCACAGCCATGCACACAACTGCTAACTGCTATGGCCAGAGTTCATATAATCTAGTAAACTGGAAAGAGTTCTAGACACAAACTGAGATAGAAAGTGGTGTGTTCCCAGTTTACCCGGTGTGTGACCTTGAACATATGTCCTAAACCAGCAGTTAATTTGAATTCTCAGGAGAGCTTTCACAAAATACTGATATGACCTTTGTTCCCCAGAGATGCACACAGTGTTTCTGCATTAATCCAAATGAGAGCATTTTCTAAACCTCCTCAGATGATTCTAGTGGGCAGTCAGTGTTGAAAATCACTGACCCAAACCCCCTAAGCCTCAGTTTACTATACTGTAAAGTGGGATAATAATAATATAAGCACTCTGACTACCCCAACCTTAATCGGAGACCCAGCTGAAAATATATTTGAAACTATCGATTCCCTTTATTTTTACAGTATTAGTAATATTCATATGTAATTTTTCATACACATAAATGCATACTTATGGTTCAGATGTTGGAAACTATTTGTATATACAACTCTGTATGTAAAAACCAGATGAACACTTCCCAAATTTTCTTAATTACTTATGGCTATTTGAGAGTGTAAGGGCCAGTAGAGAAATAACTTTATGCCTTCCTCGCTTCTTATCTTTTGAGATTATCCAAACCCTTAAATCTTGAATGTCTTATGAAGTCCATCATTCTGTCAATCATGGATTATATATGATGTTTGTCAAATCTAGTTCTGATAAAGATGCTTATAGATATATATATCTATTAAATATTATAGAATTTTATATATTATACATAACCTTCTATATAATCTTGCTGTTAATCTGGCCTATAAATTGTTGGTAGAAACGAGAGTCAGTTTCTATTTTGAAAATCAAAGCAGTGTTTAACTGATGGCATCTCAAGTTCCAGTAGCATACAGACCCTATGGTAGCAGGAGGTATGTACTCTGAGCCACAGGATTTCTGGTGCCATTAATCTGCTCCCTAAATCATGCCACCCCATGACTATAGGTCAGACTGCACCAACAATTTGAGAAAAAAACATTACTGTCCAAGTCTATTTTGTCAGTCCCTTTAGTAATCATCCCAAAGTGGGGATAAAAGCACATTCTCACTTCAACTCAGTCGTGACCAACAACGTGTCTTTTTGATCTCTCAAGAGCAGTCGTCAGCAGGGAAGAAGTGAGAGAGGCTGTGTAAACTATACACTCAGCCTCATGAGGTCCTGCTTCATTCAGCTGAGCTCACCAGGCAGAGGCCAGTCCCATGATGGGAACATGGCAGGGCTGGTCCCACAGCCTGGGAAATGGGAACCACATGGCTCATGGAATCTGGCCCAGCTGGATTGAACTAATGTGTCCATGATCTTGTGAAGCCAGGTGTTAGTGAAATAGGATAAATAAGGTCTTCCAATTTGACTGCTGAGAAAATAAAAAGCTTTCAGCCTATGGCTGTGAGACCAATGAGACCCTTTAATTTTCCAGCGTTAGCAAGCTCGGGACAAGGTACTGGAACCCAGTCTCTTGATGTAGCACTTTATTTTTTTACTTGCAATTTTTCAGACAGTGAAAGTCCAAGGCAATGACATCTCTCACAAGCTTCAGATTTCCAAAGTGAGGAAAAAGGATGAAGGCTTATATGAATGCAGGGTGACCGACGCCAATTATGGAGAGCTTCAGGAACACAAAGCCCAGGCCTACCTAAAAGTCAACGCCAACAGCCATGCTCGGAGGATGCAGGCCTTCGAGGCCTCGCCCATGTGGCTGCAGGATGTGAAGCCCCGCAAGAACGTCTCGGCGGCCGCTCCCGGCAGCATGCACAGCTCTGCCAACCAGCGAGTGCTCTCCACTTCCAGCCCTCAAGCGGTAGCCAAAATCCCCAAACAAAGTCCACAATCAGGTATGGAAACCCATTTTACCCCTCACAAACCCTCCACAGGAAGATGGTCAGAGTAGACAGATTTATGTATGACGGTTTTAAAATTGGAGACCTAGTTCACTTGAAATGAGGATGAGCTATGAGAGCCAGGGAGGCTGGCCTTCCCAGAGGATGTGAATTGCCCATTAGTCTCTGGCAGTGCTTCATGTCCAGGGGATCTGAGAGCTGGACTTCTTTTCATTCGGTGTTTACACATTATAAGCACAATAAATCATGTAATGTTTGGTTGCATTATAAATGCATGTTTATTTTCTCTGCAGATTTATGTATCGATAATAGCCCAAATTAAGAGACTTTCACTTAATCAACATGTAAATGAAAGAGACACACCACATTTTCAGGGACCCGTAGCCTTAAGCAGGACCACTCTCCAAGGGCTTCTGATTTTGAAGGAGAAACTTCAGCTGCCTGTGATGAAAGTGATGATGATAATGGGAGGAAATGAGGGGGGTGGGGCGAAAGGCAGAAAGTGGTGCAGAGATAAGGCAGCTCCTGTCAGTGTAGCTCCGATGCCAATTTAGAAGCTTAGTCAAGCTTAGTCACACGCTTCCTAAGTCAGCTGTGCAAGTTAAAGCTGCTCTGAATAGCATTAATTTATGCGCTCATTCAGCCCGTGGAAACTCATTGAAGTTTTAACCTTGGGATAGGCAGTACTTAACACCACCCCAGACTGTTCTGTATTTTGATAACACACTTGACGTAATATTATAGGATGAAGGGAGCATAAAATCTATCATTTCTCATTTTTAAGCTTTTCCCTTTATAGTTTATCATTGAAGAATTATTGACACTACTGTTGGTAATAGAAAATTCTGTTGCTACCATTCAAATTCTTTTTAGCCATTACATTTAAAAAATCTCATCATTTTATCAGGGTGATATTTATATATATATAAATATATATTTAAATCTTTATATATTTACATTTATATGGAGAAATATGTATATATATCTTTAAATCCTTATTTGTAAACAACATTTTTAAAATAATGTGTGCCGCTCTAGGTTCCTCCTTAGGCTTCATGTGCTAATGGAGATGATTTGTCCTGAGCTCAACTCAGGGTCTCTGTGAGTTTGTCCTGCCTTTAAATGTAGTTGAGCAGCTATCCCAGCATGCCTTGGTCATGGCAACTTATGTCAGTCTGATGAATAGACAGCTTAGCCTCTCTGAAGCCAAATTTGTGTGACTTTGCCTTATTTTCCTCTTTATCATCTCTTTTATATCCCAAAGTAAAGAAAAAAACCATAGCTAGAATGTGTGTATATATATTCACACACACACATATATATACACACCTATATATATATATATATATATATACACACACACACATAGACACACACACACACACACACACACCCCTAATGGTTATAATTTTTGTAGCCATTATTTGGTAAAGATTTTATATCTTTGGAGACATTGCCCTCCTCCCTTTCATACCATCAAAAGAAGAAGCTAGACACTATATGCAAAATTACAGAGTACCCCCAGCCGACAGTTTACAACCTAATTGGTGAGGACTCCAAATCATGGAATTGAAATTATTAGCCTACATAGACTATTCCAAGCCAGAAATCATAAATTCATTCTGTGGAATTAAACAGACAGATTACCTGTCCCAAGTGAAGGATTCTAAGCATAGAATGAAATGTTCTATTTCTAAACTCTTTACGTTTTGGATTGAATAACATACTCTAAGAAGATCCATTTTACTTTAGTCTCTTTCTTAGTATTGTGATTGGTGCTAAGTGGTAAACTCTACACATCTTCTAACAATTTTCAAATAAAAATCACTGCTCATTTTCCACCCCGTTACCAGCCTCACTCATTGCTTGTCCTAGAGGAAGAGTGAAAGGAGACAGGGGATGCTGACTCATGGAAGCCCATATCCATTCAAAGTAATTTCCACTAAAAATTATCTGCTCTAGCAAAGATTAATCGGAAATACATCAACGTTTTTCATTTCTATATTTTCCTACCAGTGAATACTGGAAAATATTTTAGGTACATTTAATATTTTCTAACTTCTAGTGCAGAAGCTCGGGTGGCTCAGCCACACCCATTTTATTCATGTGTAAGTTTCTGTGCTTGCACAATTATTGCATAAAATACCATATTTGGGATGGATATTTATGTAATATTATATTTCCTGTAACACCCACGTCCTGATTTATAATTTCACTTTATAATTCTTCAGGTTATATTCAAATAAAGCTGATTTCAATACCCACGCTTCATTTATTCACTCATTTATTCACTCTCCATCCTTTCAAGAGCTTATATGCCAGGCACAATGACACAGAAATGGAAGACATACTTCCATTCTTCAAAGGGTTTATTTTTTTTAATATTTTCATTTGTGAGAAACAAAGTATTTGTAAATTCCATTAACCATGCATCTTTCTTTTCTTATTCTGTTAAAGGCAAGACATGATGAAGACACAAAAATTAAAATCTTGCCTTTACAGGCTAAAAGCTATACTAGCCTTTTGTTATTCTCACTTCATACAGGGAGGCATGCGTCATCTGTGGTATATATGACACTGTAATACAACCTGTTACCAAAGGCTGGTCTGTCAGCCTTTTAGTTTCACCATAGTTTTTGACTTAGTTGACTGAACTATTTAGATTGAATACTCAACTCTTAATTCATACTTTTTTCTGTCAGAGAAGTTCTGTGTCTCTATGAAGGAAAAGTATTAGCTGAAAATAACGCTGTATGTATACACATATATAATGTTCAAATTGTCATAGAATTACCTAGTTTCCTAAAGGAGAAATTTACATGAAAAAAAGATGGAAAAATAATCTATTACCATCTACATATCACAAGATAAAGAAAAGGTTTAACTATCGTTCAATATAGCTACTTTTCCCAGATATTTTCCCAAAAGCTAGTGAGCATGTGACTATCCCATTGGGCTGTATCTTTATGATATCTCTCTTTAAGTTCTTTTAATTCTACCTCCAGTTGATAATCCACAATTACAACCAAAACAATGAGAAAAATGATAAAGCAAATAGGTAGAGCTTGGCTTTTGCCATCCCTTAGTTGTTTCTTTTCTCCAGCTCTTGGTCTGTACGCATAGCTGACATTGAAGAGTATCCTGTAGGTGCTCTGAGGGTAACAGTTTCTGATTCTAGCATGAAGTGGTTTAGTTCCACCTGCACGGAGAACAGATCCCCAAATACCTCAAGAAACTACACCGTTCTCTACGTGTTTCTTCTTGTCTCATGGAGAACATCTACTCCTTACAGAAGCCAAACATCCCCTCCATTCACCACCACCCCACTTCCCTCCCTTTGTTCCCCCCATCTACGTTCCCTTCAGTGGGTCCTCTCCCCCAACCCTGGCCAACAGGCCAACAAAACTGTGACTACAGCCCAGCCCCACCCCCCGGAAGGTCACAGCTCCGCCCTCCCTCCGCACCCCTGGACATCCCGTCTCCCCTTCCCGTGTCCCGAGTCCTGGCGGGCAGGGGGGAAGCTCTCCCGTCGCTGGTCTCCTAAACTCCCCTCTGGCCCCTGCTTGTTGGCTGTTAGTGTTCCCCTCTCTTTGTGGGCTTCTCCTCCTAAATTCCTCTCTTAAATGTAGTTTTTTCCCGTTCTCAACGCCCTGATCTCATCCGTTTCTGTGGTTTCGACCGCTAATGTTTCCTTAGAAAACTTAGCAGTTGATATTCCGATTCTGATTTCCCTCTGGAGAGCCGGACGAGAGCACCCCGCTGTCCCCGTCATGCTCCCCATGTCTGTCCCACGAGCACCGTGCAGAGCAGAGCCCCTGCATGTTGTTGACACCAGCCGTTGACGTGTGGTGCCTCTCGTCCTCCGCCCCCCCCCCAGGCTGGGCTGGCCTGTGACCACTGTGACAGTGAGATGGGAAGGAGTAATGCCACCCCAACCAATTCCAGATGTACCCTGCAAGGGGACAGCCAGCCTCTGCTGTGGCCGCTTAGAGCCAGCCACCGAGTAGGAAGTGCAGCTGCCTTGAGACACGTTGCTGACTGAAGCCAGCCTTTGACTTCAGCCCCAGCTGACTGCCCCCCCAGACTCCTGAGAGAGAATAATAAATTGTTGATTTAAGGCACTAGGTTTTAGGGTGGCTTGTTTCACGGCAATATTCAGGTCAGTCCCCTAAACTCAAATATTCAAAATCAAATTTATCATCTTAGCTGTCAAAAAAGAAATGTTCTTCCTCCTATTGTCTTAGAATTGCCTGTTTCCTCATTCAGGTCCCCACAGCAGTTTGTTTACACTTACTCTGAAGCCCTCTGCTGTGTCTTATATTATAGTAATTTTTCCCTGGGGTTTTTCTCCTTTTTATGCTGGAAGTCCCACTTTCTGGGAGGCCTGACCCTCAGGCAAAACAGGGTAGGTGATCACCCTAAAGACAGCTTCTTGGCTACAAAGATCACCACTTCCTTTTGCATTCCTCTAAGTGCCTAGAACACGTGGTGCTCATGTGTGGCAAGAACAGGAAAAGAGAGAGAGGGCCAGTATGTCTCTGCTTTTATCTTCTTTCTCTTATAATTATGTTTGCATAAATAGATAATATTGCCACTATTGCAAAAACGATCAAGACTCCTAAACAGTGTTTCTCAAAGTGCAGATGTCCTGTGCCAGACTTACCAGAGAGCTTGTTAAAAGTTCGTGTCCCAGGACAAATTTCTGAGTCTAGAAGCAGAAATATGCATTTTTATGTGCAGTAAATTATGAGAATCCTTATCTCTAAAGAGTTCTTATGGGTGAGAGAAAATTTTTTTTTATTATTTACTATGAGATGTGTGTGCATGTGTGTGATGCTACAAAATACACTTTTAGAGACTGGTCTTCTGCTATTATTTTTTCCAGTAATGTGATGGACTTTTGTGAAACTTTTCTTTACTCCTGTGGTCAACAGCTGGCACTCATAAGAAAACTGGCCATGGTTAAGGTGTAGTTATGTTTCCACGTGTAGTCG